TAAGATGGCTACACGAAAAGGGTGAGAGAGGAGAAATAGGTGCAGGGAAAGGGAGTTTTCCAGGAACAGGGCCTCACGTCAATGTGGTATCGCTGGACACCTACCTTCAGCTTACACTGCCTGGCCTTGGAGGCGCGACACTGACCTTTGCTTGTGCGCGCGCGCCTGTGCTAGCCTAACATTACTTGCGCTATCAAACTCCATTACCCGACTGCCGGTGCTGACCACCAGCTCCTGGTCACCGCCTCTCAAATAGTTAATTGTTCAGTGTGAAGTTCTCCACCCCTATGGTGGTCATTTATATGTACATCTGTGTATGGTATCTGGCGTCATTACTTCATTTTTATAGTGGGAGACAAAATCGTACTACCTTTACACTGATGTTAAGAACAAAGTTAACTGCAGAAGGCCTATTGGCCTATACGAGGCAGCTCCTATTTATAACCACCCAATCCTCTCATATACATGTCCAACCCACATTTGAAACAATCGAGGGACCCCGCCTCCACCACGTTACGCGGTAATTGGTTCCACAAATCAACAACCCTGTTACCGAACCAGTATTTACCCAAGTCTTTCCTAAATCTAAACTTATCCAATTTATACCCATTGTTTCGTGTTCTGTCTCTTGTTGATACTTTTAATAACCTATTAATATCCCCTTTGTTATGTCCATTCATCCACTTGTAAACCTCTATCATATCACCCCTAACTCTTCGCCTTTCCAGTGAATGCAATTTAAGCTTTGTTAATCTCTCTTCATATGACAGGTTTCTAATTTGGGGAATTAATTTTGTCATCCTACGCTGGATACGTTCAAGTGAATGTATATCCATTCTATAGTACGGCGACCAAAACTGAACTGCATAATCTAAATGGGGCCTAACCAGAGCAAGATATAGCTGAAGAACACCAGGTGTCTTGTAACTAACGCTTCGATTAATAAATCCCAATGTCCTATTTGCCATATTACGAACATTCATGCATTGATCCTCTGATTTTAAATTCTTACTAATCATAACTCCCAGATCCCTTTTGCAATACAACTTCGCAGTCTCGACACCATCTAGCTCGTGTCTTGTAACTCTATCATCATTACCTAGCCTCAAAACTTTACATTTATCAGCATTAAACTGCATCTGCCAATCTTTTGACTCTTTCAAAACCCTATTTAGATCGACTTGAAGTGACAGTGAGTCGTCTTCCGTGTTTATTTCCCTACCGATTTTTGTATCGTCTGCAAATTTGCAAATGTTGCTACTCAAACCTGAATTTATATAATTTATGTATATTATAAACAGCAGAGGTCCCAGGACAGAGCCTTGAGGTACTCCACTTAAAACATTTTCCCACTCTGACTTAATCCCACTTATACTAACTCTATTTTCTTTGGTATAGCCATACCCTAATCCAACTTAATATAGCACCCCTAATACCATGAGCCTCTATTTTTTTAATCGGTCTTTCATGTGGCACTGTATCAAAAGTTTTGCTAAAGTAAAGGTGCACATCACAATCCTTACCATTATCAACTTATCACTATATGTTCTTTCTTATATCTCTGTTTAGCTTACACTTGTGCTCTTCTCGTCCTGTGTAATTTCCCAAGTGTACCTGTGTGTGTTTACTATTTGTGCCAGTAGGATGGAACTGTTAACTCTTGGACCCCGCCTTTCTAACTGTCGGTTGTCTAATAAACTGACTCCAGACTTGGTTTATCATATTTACTACATATATTACACACACATCCCCAGGAAGCAGCCCGTAGCAGCTGTTTAACTTCCAGGGACCTATTTACCCTTTTTGAACATGTGAAATAAACTCTGCTTCATCCGGGAATCGAACCTGGGCCCTTAGGACTGCCCCCCCCCTCGAGCGCTGTCCCGTCGGCCGTGTGTGTACTCGCCTAATTGTGTTTTTCGAGGGGTTGAGCTCTGGCTCTTTTGTCCCTCAAAATAAGACTTATCGGGAATGAAGTGAAGGGAAACAATCGGGGGAATAACCCGTGGTTCAGCAGACAGTACATGGAAGCAACGAGCATGATCGGGATGTGTGCGCGAAGTGCTTGGTTATCCATGACAACTTTCACACACGCCCGTCGCCTCACCAGTTAGTTTAGTTCATTTATTATGCACCCCATACCCATCTTGTAGCACGGGAGACATCTCCCGTCACGCAGGGTGCAGTCGCACCTCCACAGATCTCTAGTATCATCTATTGATACTGGTGATGGCTCAAAAGGGCCACCACTTACGGGCTATTCATGCCCGTGCCACCTTTTGGATGGCTTAATCTTCATCAATCAATCAATCATCTTGTGGGCCGTAGTGGAAAAGGGTTACAGAGGCACATAATGGGCTCAGGGACTGAACCCCACAATTCATTTAGCTAAGCAAGTTACAATCTTGATGAGCTAGTTCCTCACCACCGATCTGGTTCGAGTTAGAGTCCTGACCAGGGAGGAGGGGGGGGGGGGTTGTCTGGGTGCTAATTCTTAACTGTTGATCCCTTGTTCATCGGTAATTGGGTACCTGGCTGTTAACAGTTTGCGGGTAGCGTTGCAGGGAAAGCTGGTAAGGTAAGGCTTACCATGAGGAAAAGCGCTCAGCCTGCTAACAGGAGTCAGAAGTCGTTGTTCCTTTGCTCATCTGTGTAAACTAAAAAAAAATAATAACTACGCTAAATTGTTAGAGGTCCTATACAATGGTCGAACTGGGTTCAAACTGGGTTCTAGAGTGGAGACTGGGGGCACGAGGCTTAGAGGTGGGGTGTGACAAACGATCTCCGGCGATGTTCACGGAATGTCACTCCATCAGTGGCTCGAAAATTAAGTGTTGCATTATAAATGAGGAGGCCAAGGTCATGGCGTGTTTGAATTGGAGTATACGCAAATAATCTCTCTATGTACTCACCTAGTTGTACTCGCCTAGTTGTGCTTGCGGGGGTTGATCTTTGGCTCTTTGGTCCCGCCTCTCAACCGTCAATCAACTGATGTACAGATTCCTGAGCCTACTGGGCTCTATCATATCTATATTTGAAACTGTGTATGGCTACCTTACCTTACCTTGAGGTCCTTCCCGGGCTTAGCGTCCCCGCGGCCCGGTCGTCGACCAGGCCTCCTGGTTGCCGACCTGATCAACCAGGCTGTTGGACGCGGCTGCTCGCAGCCTGACGTATGAGTCACAGCCTGGTTGATCAGGTATCCTTTGGAGGTGGTTATCCAGTTCTCTCTTGAACACTGTGAGGGGTCGGCCAGTTATGGCGTCAGCCTCCACCACATCACTTCCAAGTGCATTCCATTTATTAACTACTGACACTGGAAAAAATTCTTCTAACGTCTCTGTGGCTCATCTGGGTACTAAGTTTCCACTTGTGTCCCCCTTGTTCGTGTCCCTCCTGTGCTGAAGAGTTTGTCTTTGTCCACCCTGTCAATTCCCCTGAGAATTTTGTAGGTGGTTATCATGTCTCCCCTTACTCTTCTGTTTTCTAGGGACGTGAGGTTCAGCTTCTTTAGCCTTTCCTCGTAGCTCATTCCTCTTGGTTCTGGGACGAGCCTGGTGGCATACCGCTGAATCTTCTCTAAATTTGTCTTGTGTTTAACTAGGTATGGACTCCAGGCAGGATGTGTGTATTTGTGTGCTTGTCTATATAATGTATATATGATTATGTACATGTGTATTTATATAGGACATATATATTATATAAAATATATATATTTTATATACAGTATACTGTATAATATATATTATATAGTTATATATAATATAAAATATGCAATTCCCTAAGTGTAGTTACAGGATGAGCTATGCTCAAGGTTGTAACTTGCTTAGCTAAATGAATTGGGGGTGGGGTTTCTGTCCCTGAGCCCATTGTGCCTCTGTAACCCTTTCCACTACCGCCCACAACATGAGTAAGGGGTGCACAATAAATGAACTAAACTAAGCTCGTTACGTCCTGTCTTCCCGGTACTCTGTCTTATGATGCTTTGAAACTACTGGCGATTTTGGCATCTATCATCTCACTTACAACCGTATACCATTGTTTGCAAAAGGGAACTTTCTAATATTTTTTTGTATCTTTGTTTCCTTAGAGTAAATCTGTGACCTTTGTTCTTGATGTTGCAAGTTTCAAGAATTCCTCTTGTCAATGTTCACATTAGAAAGGTCAGACAGTATCTCAATGCCCACACAAATGTTTGAAGTAGGGGAAGGGAATGAATTAAGTGTGTAAATCGTGAAGAAATTAACACGTCGTGAATAATGTGAAATCGTATAATCACAAAGGGAAATGGAAAACAAAAATTACTTTTAAGCACCTTCATACTGTAACACATTTTCAGAAGTATGAACAATATGGTACAGTGGAGGGAAATATACAGACAGAAAAAAGGAAGATTGTATACGAGGTGGGGGGAAAATGTCTTTATAGCTAGGGTTTGTGAAGCAAGAAAGTCGAGGAAACTGTAGAATGCGTATTGACCAGCACATGCCAATTCTTAAAAGTAATGTCCCTATGGGGATGACTGTCTAGTAATTCTCTTACCAAGATCATTTTATTAATTGATCCATTTAAAATAGATCCAAAATGAATAAACTGTTACTAATTGGAAGATGGATTAAAAAAAATAAAAATCAGATTGAGGGAGAGGCAGTCAGTCCTATGTAAAAGTGTTAGTTGTTATTTTTTGTTTAATGATGTTAAAGAATATTTACAAACTAGTCCGGATGCGCGAGGGATATAATTATTTATTGTCTATATTTTTAAACCTACTGAATTTGTACAATGTGATCAGTGATGTGCTATAGAATTACAGTATAACAAAAATAATTAATGGCCAAAATTTGTATAGCCTTTATTTTTTTTTCACCAGACGTGGTATTTGTCTTGGATTGATATACATATATATTGTGAATTAAGTTTAAAGTTAACTCATGTTCTTTGTTTTATGGTTGACCTTCCCTTGTATCCGTTAACCAGTTTGTCACCTTTTGTCTGAACAGGTTCATTAACGTGCAGGAATGGTCTCTACCACAAAATAGCGTTGAGGTTTTACAGTGAAAAGCTTGTGGATTCTTGAGGCCTAAGCAAAATTCTTTGTTGCCAGTGATTCACAAGGCCCCGTATCTCCTATTGGCTCATTTCCTCAAAGAAAGTGTTATTGAGATGCTTACAGAGGTCTGAAAGACTATAATAAAGGCCATAGGTACGTTAAAGTATCAGAAGCGAGCATTTACCTGGGTTACTGCATCACCTGGCCACCCTCTCTCTCTCCTGCGACAGTATGGTCATACCCATGGACACCATGGGTAAGGTGAGTCCTGAATACCCGTCTGCACCTTTACTTGTTTTGGGTTATCACCACGCCCGGTGAACTGGACCACCGTCTGGGGGATTAATGAATGATTTTGCACATTTGCAGACATGGGGCCCTTGGACATGCCGCCCCTCAGTCGTCCCATTCAGTATGCCTTCTCATTTACCTGAGCTTACTTTGTTTTTATTTTGCTTGGTCTTCTCCTCGTCTTCCTTTGCCTCGCCATCCTCCACCTGTTTTCTTTTTTTTTAATCCATTCCTATTAACAATTTATATACGTTTTTATTGAATGAAATCTTGTAGCACAAAAGCCATTTAATTCATTTGGATTTTTAAAGATTCGAACTCGGGTCTCAAAAGCTGAGCCCATTAACCTACCAGCTAATGGATATTCACAATAAGAAAGGGTTCGAATCCCCAAATATCCAAGTGAATTTGGTGTTATTCATTCACTATTATGGATTGCATCTTGCCAAGGGCACCTAGCATGGCGTAGGCATGAACGTATCCCATTGTCTCAGACACAGGTCTCACGAATAGCGCATTTAACAAAAATCACGTGTACCTATTGCAAAAATTCTGTCGTCTATTCGTCTTGAACATTATGTAAAATAAAAACAAAATGGACGATTTGATTATCAGTTAGTGTCCAAAAAAATTAGAATCTTAGTGCAGTGCTTGTTCATTCTGGACACCCACCGCAGTGCTTGTTCATTCTGGACACCCACCGCAGTGCTTGTTCATTCTGGACACCCACCGCAGTGCTTGTTCATTCTGGACACCCACCGCAGTGCTTGTTCATTCTGGACACCCACCGCAGTGCTTGTTCATTCTGGACACCCACCGCAGTGCTTGTTCATTCTGGACACCCACCGCAGTGCTTGTTCATTCTGGACACCCACCGCAGTGCTTGTTCATCCTGGGCACCCACCGCAGTGCTTGCTCATCCTGGGCACCCACCGCAGTGCTTGCTCATCCTGGGCACCCACCGCAGTGCTTGCTCATCCTGGGCACCCACCGCAGTGCTTGCTCATCCTGGGCACCCACCGCAGTGCTTGCTCATCCTGGGCACCCACCGCAGTGCTTGCTCATCCTGGGCACCCACCGCAGTGCTTGCTCATCCTGGGCACCCACCGCAGTGCTTGCTCATCCTGATCTAATCCTTGGTATAATAATAATAAAAATTTTATTCACAAGAAAATGCAAATGGTTGGTGAGATTACATAAGAGTGGTATTTTTACATTCTTGCACAGCCGCTAACACGCATAGCGTTTCTGGCAAAAACTCTATGCGTGTTATAGTTATAACCATGTCACCCTGTAATTAAGCTACATGAGCTACCATGAGATTATTGTGCATCTTTATTTCAATAATGTATCTTGTTGGCTTTTTATGTATTTTTGTATCTAATATATATTTTCTTTTGTAATTCCTGTTATTACCCTAGTTTGACAAAATTTACCTGAGGGACACTATCTACTCTACCCAGTGGGTGCAATATCCAAGAGTATTCTTAATCAATGTTGAATTAACGTTTCTCTTGCATATTGGTGCCACTGGTTAGTGGCCTTGACAGGGACAGGAAACGGGCAGCTTGTCAAAGGACAATGGGCCCCCCCTTCCACATTACTCACTGGGATTTTTTTATCTGGATTGTAAACTAAACTGGATTGTCTTGGCATTTCTGACCAACACAAGACCATTGCAGGGTGAAATCATATTAGTGGTGGCTATAATTTGACCAACTGGTTGTGTGGTGATGGGCAAAGATAATGAAGTGATAATAGTAATTAATCACAGGCCATGGTCATTGTCACCTGGAGGCATCAACTGCCAGGTTTACAAGCAATTAACCTTGCTAAATGCTCGGTTGATATAAAGCAAAGAAAGAATGTCATTTATAAATAAGTACAGTACCTGCAGTAAGTGGGGCCAAATTTGGTAATTTTCTAGAATATTACAAATCGCCTATTTAAACTTGCTCTTTGTATTAGGGCTTCTTGAGGTCAAATCTATTTTATTTTGATACTGTGAATATACTGTTGATTTATTTATGTTAACAAATTACATGACCGGCTTATCAAGGCTACAACTTGGCTAAATGAATTTTTGAGGCTTCAGTTCCTGAATATACGTACCTCTGTAACCAGCTTTTCCCATTACTGCTAACAGGACAGATATTTATTAGGGTCCTGGTAGTAGTACAGTCGGTTTCATTCTCGATGCACAATCGAAAGTTCCAGGTTTGAATCCCGGGTGGGACAGAAATGGCTGGGCACGTTTCCTTTCACCTAAAGTGCCTGTTCACCTAGCAGTAAGTAGGTACTCGGGAGTAAGTCGGCTTGTTATGGGGTTTCATCCTGGGTGGGGTCAGTAATTTGGTCTTGGAGGGGGGAGGGGGGACCTCAATAAAAGCCAAAAACGTATATGAATACACTCTGGCTTTCTGTGGCCTGACACAATGAATTAATTATATGGGGTAAATAATAAAGGAACAAAATAAATTATATAATTTACTGTCTTAAAAATTTTCAAAATAAAGTTCTTGGTTGCTAATCATCCGGTAAAGTGAGCTGGTAATAAAATTCTGTATTTGCAGTTTTGACCACAAACTATGTATAACCCACGACCATTGTTGTGTCTACAATGACCCATTGTTTTCCTATCTAGACACTAGAATCCTTTTCTATATGAATCTAGGAATAGGAATAATATTTTCCTATTCTAGACACACTAGAATTATGTTAATTTTTTATTACCATAAGAAATCTTATTTCTTTAGCTACATTTTAAACTTTTATTTAAAATTGGACAACAAAGTATTCAGTGTGTTTAACTTTTAAGTTGCTGATGACAATGCAAAAAATGGTGACAATACTGGAAAGTTGCCAACTATTTTTATTTATTTATATGAAAACAAAGTACAGTATATCAGATTAATTAAGTCACTGGAAAGTATATTCAAAGTAAGTTATACATTTAAAAGGAATATTGTTGATTTTTGGTCCTGCATTTTTGGCAGGAGAATTCAGAGGATGACAAGATACAATGGACCTAATAAGCGAGGTGCTTTACCTTCACCTCGTCCATGGGTATATATCATGCAACATGAAACTTTGTAATCATTATGGGGCTATTCATGCCCGTGCCACCGCTTGGGTGGCTTAATCTTCATCAATCAATCTTTGTAATCATTCAAACTCTGCCTTTGACAATGTTAACAAGAGTTGACAAGCCTCATTCCTTTTGCATCGGGCCAAATAAAACTGTAAAAATGAACTTCAGCGAGTTAATTTATCAACTTCTTTCTTAAGTGAAGAAAAATTTGAGAAAAATGAAGAATCACACTAGATTCATTGATCTCGCCATTTTGTCGCAATCAATAATATACAGTACATATATAATGTGTGTGTGTGCGTGTGTGTGTGTGCATATGTATGTATGTATATTTATTTGTTTAAACCTATTCATTGAATTTTTAAATGATTACAAATTCGTTGATTTTGTATTGATGGCATTTTATTTCAGGGGTGGGTAGGGAAGCAGAAAATGGGAAGTGGTACATCAGGCTTACATAAATTCTGGCTACTTCTGTGGAAGAACTGGATGCTACAACGCCGAAAAAAGGTATTCCTATTTGTGCACACTATTATGCATGTATATTTTGTGGATATTAAAAAATTTAGGTATACATCATTGTGCTGCTAAATGAAGGGTTACATACAGTGTGATTAGGAGCTACCTGTGTTGACCTACAGACTTCACTAACAAATTTTAAATAAAACATGAGAATGTTCCAATGTCTAATAACATTCAAGATCAGGTTGATCACACATTTTTGTAAAAATAGCCTTGTGACCATAGGCCAGTGGGTTGCACATGCAAGGTATAATAAAGTGTTTGAGTTTTGAAGTTGTTGTTAAGTATATCACATAGCAGGAATATGGAGTACAGTAGTTGATAATGAAGACTGTTTTAAGTTCGTTTGGACAACTGAAGAGAGAGATAGGAGAAAGCTAATTAGTTATTTGACTGAAAGGTGATGAAGTATCAAGAATGAAGTGCAAGGAAGCAGGATAGTGAGGAAGGAAAATAAAGACAGGAAGATTGATTCTGTTTGAGATATGGTAAGGAGAAGGATAGTGTAAGTAAATAAGAATGAATGAGGAAAATGATGATGGATACAATGAGGATGAGGGACTGTATAGTGAATAAGAAAGATGTACTGAATAAGGATAGAGAAGGATAGATTGAAGAATGAGTGGAAAACTTTTTCTTGAGATTCAGATGGTGGCTAAGAACAGGCTAAAGCTGGAACATTATCTCTTGACAGATTCAGACTGTGGTTGAGGTTTTTCTCCCTGTGGTGTTTTGCGTCCTCCTGGTTATTATTCGGGACCTAGCACCGTACGGCGTCATCCCTAACCCCACTTTCTACGAACCATTCAGCATTTCTGAATTACCGACAAATTTAGTGTGAGTTACCGTTGTAATAAATAGCTATTTTCTCTTCATACAAATCATTAATGCTGACATTATTAGATCACGACTTAAATATGGGAATATTTTTCCAATATTGATTCAATATATTTTTTTTGTTATATTTTCTCAGTACTGATTCTTCAGATTTATTGAATGTATACAATACTGTACATAAGTACAACTTTATCTCTGTAAAATGTTAC